GAAGCACCATAGTCACGCAACACAGCACAAAGTACCAAATTGTAACTAGTTAGATAGAACGGCCTTTGGCCAAAAGTCTTACATAGCCAACGGCTGATACAGGACTATAATGGAATAATAATAATAGACATGCAGTGGCAGCATTTACAACACATACCATCTCAATGACTTCTTCGAGTAAGGAACTTGACTTAGACTATGCCGGAGCTGGCAGCCCACGTGACACCAGCAAAAGGGCAAATGATTGGTGGATTCGTCAATATGCCCCGCTTCAGCCTCGTTGAGGGAACTTGATTGCCGCCTGGTTTCCTGATCTCTCCCTTGTATCGATGATATATAGACATTGGTGAAGAGAAGATCACCACGTTCACCTCACACTGCGCTTAATGGAAAACTTAATCTATAAGGCATTACCTCCACAAGATTCAAACAGAAATGTAACTGCGTACTCTCGACTACTCGAACTCTGGCCTGGCGAGGGCGTCAACCCGTTTTTATGCACCCTTCAGAATGTGGATATAGAACACCCTCATGTTCCGTTTGAAGCACTATCGTATGTCTGGGGGAGGGATAAAAGCGATAATGTTCTGCTTTGTGCAGACAACCAAGGGAATATACAGGGGCAACTTGAACTTACTAAAAACCTGGAGCAAGCATTACAAGCTTTACGACAACCGCACCAGCGCAGGATCCTCTGGATTGACGCCATTTGTATACGACAGGACGACAACGCCGAGCGATCCCGCCAGGTATCCTATATGCGATCTGTGTATAATAACGCGTCGCGGGTAATCATCTGGTTGGGCCAAAAAGATGCAACAGTACGCCGTGCATTCGAATTCGCTCAGAAACTTGCCATGACTGCCGCAGCACTGGAAGCGACCATTCCAAAAAGCTCCCAGTCACCACAACAGGCCCAGACAGCACGGTTACACCGCCAAGGCCTTGTTATGAACGCCATGAAAGACCACCCAGAAGATTCCAGAGCGTTGGATGCGCTGCTTACAAAGGAGTACTTCGAGCGCGTTTGGTGCATCCAGGAAGTTGCCGCTGCAAAAGATTGCATTGCGAAATGCGAAGACCTCGAGGTTGATTTTCACATGCTACTCGTTGTCGTACCGTTCCTCCTTCTTTATCGAGGTCTCACCCCCAACGCATCAGGCCTAAGCTTGTGGCAAGCTATGGCAATTGTAAAGGGACAAGACCAAGACCAAACGAATCCACTAACACCTAATGGTTCGCTCGGCCCGATGTTGCGAGTCCTTATGTCGGTTCGAAACTTCAAGGCCACAAATCCAAGAGATCGAATTTATGCGCTGTTAGGCTGCACTGATGAGGGACTAGAACCGATCTTAGGAAGCTTGAATACTTTCGCAGGGAACAAAAAAAATACAGGCTTGGCACTCATGCAGAAAGGCTTGATTTGGCTGGCAAAGAATGTAGAGGGCCAGCGACGACCCGATGGAAAGTTTCTTCGACATTGGGCACTGAGGCCAGACTATGACAAAAGCGTGCGCGATGTCTACCGCGACTTTACAAGATATTGCATTCGCAGAAGTCCTCGGGTTTTGGATGCCCTCTCCCACGTACAGCACCACTCCGATCCGACCGGACAGGACGAGTTTCCAACTTGGGTTCCTAAATTCTACGAGCCTCGTAATGCTTCGTCGTTTGTTTTGAATGTCTATATGGCCGGAGTGCCGCCAAAAGGGCATTATCGTTACTTTGCGCATTTGCAGGACAACCCGTTGGTGCAAGGGTCAATCAAAGAGCCAAATATCTTACAAGCGGACGGCTTCCGGGTCGACGTTGTCGCTACTGTTTCCGAGACTATCACACAAGGCGCTAGTGGAGCAATCTCACCCAAGACCATCTGGGACCAATTATTCCCCACGCCCATTTCCCCAAGACCCGATTTGCAATACCAATTTGGGGCGGAGACCTTGGACGTTGCTTTTTTTATGACGCTGCTCGCAGGTGGTGTGTTGAATACGCTCGAAATCGGGTTTGAAGGCGCTCCGACGACAAGATCCGAAGCAGTGGAGCACTTCACGAAGCAAGCGAAATGTGACCTGTATCAGTGGCTAGAGGGTGAGTCTGGCTTTGATACACAGGCCTATGCGGATCTCGTACGTGATTCCCAAGACGCGAACCATGAGCAAGGGCGCTCTCGTTTTGAGAGATGCTGTGTTATGTACTCACTCAACCGGAGATTATATCGCACTCAATCTGGAATGTTAGGCCTAGGTCCAATGTTCACAAGGCCTGGTGATGTTGTAGTTGTTCTCTTTGGCGGAAGATATCCTTTCTTGCTCAGACAGCTTGCTAGTGAATGGCTGTTCCTGGGGGAGACATATGTGCAGAATAACCACGTTATGCTTGGTGAAGCAGTGACGGAGGTACGCTCAGCAAGAGGAAGACAGAGAGTGGAGACATTTCGTATTCGTTAGGGTGCTTTCTGAGATATCGGGATGCCAAATAACATTCGACTTTCTTGCGGGAAAGAAGAATACAAGGCGATCTTCTAGCATCTAGTCTTAACTCAGTCCAACAAATTAAGTCTTTGTTTTTCTTTTCACATAGGCTCCTGGCTGAATCTTAGATGCCAAAATAGGTCTTGATCTGTAACAAGAAATTTTCGGACTAAACCCGAAGCTGGAGGTGAGTAGATGTTATCGATGTGGCTATGCTGTAGTGCAATCCCACGCGCCTAAATCCAAATACGATGGTGCTTTGAGGTGACGTTGCCGCAGTAGCAGAGGATGAAATGAAGCTGAACGACAAAGAAAAACACATGTTGAGGTGCGGGTTGCTGAACATTTATTCTGCCAAAAGAGGGATCAGCATAGCGAGTCGTTATGACACGCTCTTCAGGCTTTTTCCTGCGAATACTAGAGCTCTGGGCCATTAGGTAGAGTAAAGACGCCTAGAAGGTAAGCTGCAGAAAGCTCTCCTTCACTCTAAATCGTCGCCGCTCTTCGATGCTTTCAACATTCTTGGAGATACTGAGAGGATCATCATGTCAGTATTCACCGCTTTGATCTATCATCCTGCTCTCCCATCTTACCTTCATGAATCTCTCCTTCGCATTAAATGGTTTCGCGGACTCATGCCCCTCGACGGAATGGTTGATAATACTTGATTTGATTCCTTGTACGGCAACAACATACTGTGTGTGGTGATAAGCAGATCAGCGTTCGAAACACAACATGAGATGAACATGTTTGACCACCTACCTCCTCGATCGAGTTCTTCACAATGTACCGCGTCACAACAACTTCCCTGCTCTGGCCCATTCTATGGACTCGATCCAACGCTTGTTGTTCCGCCATGGGACTCCACTGCGGCTCAAGCATGTGTACTCTCGACGCGACTGTGAGATCCAGTCTACACGACAGGTTAGATACCAAAGTGTTTCAGATGTATGAATCGCGGCAGAGTCGAAGAGTCTTACCTGACACCGGCACTCCCAACGGACGCAAGAAGAACGCAATAGCCCTTTTGGGCGCGAAAGTTTTGAAGCGTAGATCGTCTTGCTTGATCATTTAGGGAGCCATCGATAAGCTCGTATGGGATGTTGCTATGTCTCAAGGCCTTTTCAACTAAGCATAACATCTTCTTCCAGCCTGAGAATACGACGCTGCATGTGAAAGGGGATGTTAGTGGACGTAGAGAATAAGGATCTAGAGAAGAACTAGGTAAGCGGTACCTTTTCAATGGTGGGGAAGTGGAGGCCATTTCACCGCGAAGATTTCGCACCAAAGCGACGACTTTTGACGAAGGCTTGTAGAACCTCTCAGGACTTTCAGGATCACTTGTTGCTGCAGACATCGAATACGCTGCTGCAGTGTTACGGGACAAACTATTTTTCTCGTCGATCCTGAGACCAAGTTTGCAATCTACTCCCTCCAGGGACGAATCATCTTCCATCTTCTTTCCGCAGCGTGGGCAGACTGAATGTCCGCAGTCCAATGAAGAGGCCTGACTGAAACCATTTAGATGAGGCTGGGATAACTTCGTGCAGATTGCACATGTTTCCGAAGCCTTTAAAATCTGATTCAGAATTGAGTCTTCAGGATCAGACTCAGAAAAAATGGCCATAGCAGATGGTGGGAAAAGATCAAAGCCATGATTACAGAATTGGCGAAGCCTAAGGATTATCTGGAAGATGCATTGAGCGGATATATCTCTTGAAGTTGTCTCTGATTGCATCCGAAGGATCTTATCCCAACTTTGCTTGAGCCTGTCATATTTCTGGCGCTCGTCGTTGTTGAGAATGATCTTTTCAACGCGATTTTCTCGGCCGGGAATCCCGAGATCTTTCTGGACGGTGGCTTTGCTCCTCCGCAGAGAGGTGGATTGGACGAGCTTGCGAAGGTATGACAGCGCTGTTTCTGGGTTGTTCTTTAGAAGTTCTGAGATAAACAGGCTGAACAATTTTGGGTCATGGAAAGGGCTCGCACGCAGGAAGGTGAGCAACGTCCCGAAGTCTTCCACGCGATTAAATATCGGAGTGCCGGTGAGGCACCAACGATGTCGTGATTTCAGCTCTCTCACTACCCGATACTTCCTTGATCTGGAATTTCGAATCAGATGAGCTGAACCAAGATGTCTGGTCAGAGTCTTCGGCTATAAGGCTTCGAGCTTCAGCTTACCTTCATCTAGAACGACTCGGAGCCACTCAAGATCTAGCAGGGACTCAGTCTCCTTGTTGTCGTGCCTCTTGTGCGCAGCCTCAGATACAAGAGTGTCATATGTCGTCAGAACAACATCATGCCTGTGGAGATCAGCTGGTAATATTCGTCTCGAGGAACCATGGTATTTGTAGTAAGACAATCTTCCCGGATAAATGTGGCTACGGACAGGTTATTTAGCAGACCGCCGGTATAAAGCATGTCTTCTCACCTCTTTATTTGCTCCTCCCATGTCTGAAGGACTGCTCACCGTGTTAGATCTGGCAGATGGTTGCTTTGGAATATGTGTACTCACGTGACATAGGTGTAACGATAATGGTAGTATGGTTTTGAGACGGGCATGGGGCCAAATTTTCCATCTCATCCAATTTCAGTGTAATAAGAGCAAGCATAGATAAAGTTTTCCCAAGGCCCATCTCCTAGAAGGCCATCAGTGACAGCGTTCGCCAAATAGTGAATCGAGGCGAATCTTACATCAGCGAGAATGCCACCAAGACAGGGCATCGGAATCTCAGTTTGGACTTGACAAGTTACCGCGTTGCGATACCTGCATTTCTGGATTAGCACTGGCATGAAATTGTGTCTCGACAAAATGTGTCTTTTTCGTCCGTTCGAGTCACAGACCGTAGTCCACATAGAATCAAAGTGATTTCCCTCGATTATCCCGCTCTCTTTTTCTACCATCATAGACAGGGCTTTCAACTGGTGACTGCAAGTGGTCAGCACAACCATGACTCTGGGAGTCTCGTTCACGCCCAACTTACGGCTTTAGAGGCGTTTGTAAATGATGACTTACCATTATTTCAGCATATGTTTCAGGCCCAAGAGCGGAGTCAATTGCTTGATGAATCGAAACTTTCAAAAAATCGTTGTCATCTAGGTTTGCTCTCCTAATAATTTCCTGATCAGAATCATCTTCATTCCGGATCTCCAGGTCCCTTTCTATATCAGGCGGTCGGTATAAATATTGTGGGTTGAAATATTCCAGTGGCTTGTAGAAGGCGCGAGGTTTTTGAAGATAGATTTCAGCGTTATTTAGCAGCTATCCTATCTGGTCGGCATTTCCTCGGTACCCTTGGAGCACGATACATAACATGTAGCTTTGTGGCGGACCTTTAGACTTCCTATTCAGCAGTAAGTAGGCATCGAAAGCAAGTCCAAATCGCTCTGATAGATCGATCAACACTTCTGAAAATCTGCGCTCAAGGAATCCTCCGTATGCCATGGACTCAGAGTGACATACCATGATTCTCTGGCCTTGAAATTTGAGCGTTACTTCGATACGAGTGTGGCCCATCTCTCCAAGAGCACCGAGGCGAAGAGTCGACGTTGTGTGCTGGATCTAGGCGATGGTTATAATGTAGCTCTTAGACAATTTACATACGCTCATACCATCCCAAAACATGTGTCACACTCTGCAATGGAATGATCACTCAAAATTTCAGGCGAAGGACTCGGGGTTGGGTTCGTTGTGCCGTCTAGACGAAGCGTTAGCAAATATCAAATTCTCAAAACGCCACGCTAACGTACCCAAATTATTCTGTGAGATCATTTGATTAATCTGGGGATAGGCGTCTCTTGAGTTCCCTGTGGAGCTTTTATTCTCTAACTCGTTTTGCTCCTCGTTAAAGGAATCCGATGCTGCAAAAAAGAAGCCTTTGGTTGCTCTGGGCGTGTCAGAGGCTATGCGTTGCCTCTTTGCAACATATTCCGCATCGATTTCCGCCGTCCGTAAAAGTCCTGACGCTGGACGTTTATCGCCTTCCTTAGGATCGGCCATTGTTGTGGTTTCCGGCTTACAATCACGACCTTTGAAGTAGAACAAAAGGTTTCACAAGGTCATGTGACGGTCCTAAGCGGCATGCGCTAACGTGTCTGTGCACCTCGTGCACGGATTCATCTCGTGCACGCTGAACACCATCTCAGCGATCTCAAAAATGAGGCTTTACAACGCCACATAATAGCTTAATATTTATAAAAACGTAATGTTATAGTAAATAGATGCTTGCGATT